AGAAAGAGAGAGAGAGAGACAGGGAGATAGAGACACAAAATTGAAATAGAGAGAGAGAAACAGAGAGTCTTATAACAACCAATATTATGGAATGAATCTACAGAATATCCCTACCGTCTTCTCTCATCTTGAATGTGATCACTTTGTCCTCAACACCGTTTTGCCGACTTATGCAGGAAATGGCGTTGGTAGGATGAACCGGGACCTCATTTCGAGTGTCGTAAGTCCAGACCCTTACACGCCGCGGGTTGGTGTAGGTATTTCTGGCTAAAAAAAACAATTGTCCTGACCCTGTGTCCAGTTCAAGCCCGAACTGATACCCTCTTTGGTTTATAATCGTTCCGGTGTGGTAGCAGTACAACCAGGTGTAGTCGTCATCCGGATAGTATGGAAACTTGCTGGTTATTGTCAGGTCGGCTACTCCTGGGGTAGTAAACAAAGGTTATGTTAAATTTCTGTACAGCACAAGTCGACAAGCACAAGTCGACAAGCACAATATAATCATACAGATATATGAATATGTTTTATGTATTGTACATGTCTACCTTAATCTTCACATTGCCATAGGCACAGGTTTGTCTTTTAACAATACTCTCCAAGCAGAGGTTTGGGTTTTTTGGCGTGTTTTAAGCTTTTTTTATCGGGGTGCCTTTCTTGCACTGGATGTTTTTTTTTCACCCAACCCAGTGCAAAAACGAAACCCCGAATGAAAAACCTATAGACACGCCAAAAATAAGCCAAAACCCAAACCTCTGCTTGGAAAGTATTTTAACACATCATGTATAGACTCCTCTGCACATGCGAGAATGTCTTTTATGTCAGACACAAACAATTACTCATGACAAGTCAATTCACAGGTGTCAAAGCTAAATACAGACATCAACAAAATTAAGAGAATCCGGAACTGAGAGCGTTAGTCAACTGTCTTTGTCAACACAATGCCCTACTATACTACTACATATACGTTTGTCTGTAATGTCAACTTAATGCCCCAGGCATATTCCCCCTTCAGTCAGTCTGTGTATAGGGTTGTCACGCATGGACAACTTCCCCTGTTCACGACCTCTCTCTCCTTTTGTGCTTGAGAGTAAATAGTATTGTTAGACATAATCTGTGTTGGTATGTTTGGTAAACAAGGCTGACATGAGCCATTGACTGGGGCCATGATCAGTGAGCATGTCTTTTTTTCACATTTTGTAAAATTCAATTTTCATAGGAAGACAAAAACACAGACATGCATAGCACAGGTACCACAGCAAAATAAGTGAACATAAAATACATAAAAATTACGATTACAATTTGGAACCTATTCAGTAGTCATACTTCAAAACAATTTGAACATAATGACTTAAAACACAGGATGTCTTACCTTTGTAGGATTCTAGGATTGTAGGATTCTCTGGGTGATACAAATGACTTTATTTGTGATAACAACATGCTTCGGGAAAATGACTGTAACCCACTGAGGCATGTCACAGATGTGGGGAACTTATTTCTGTACACATTATAAACAGCTTACAACATTTTACTTAAACGAAGAAAATATTGGCGATAATTCATAGATAACTTGTATCCTTTTCTTGAATGTTGATGTCTTACCCACACTAAGCAGTGAATGACACAGCAGTACATTACCATAAAATTGCTACCTTGAATTCAAGGAAGTGGGTCGTTTCAAATTCTATATCTCTCCTCGAAGAACGTATTAGAAAATATAATACTGTTCTCTAAAAGAAAACACATTACTTAATATATCTTTAAAACATTGCTGAAATCTCCACAATAAACATCTCCGTGTACAGTATTAGAAACAAGCGTCTGTACAGTAATATGAGGCATCTGTCAATTTTGATTAATAGGGGACGGTTAGGCAAAGATAGTGTGTGAGAAAACTTTGTTCTGTATTTTATCGCTTACAATGGCTTACAATGACTTACAATGGATGCGGAAATACATGTGCAGAAATTAATCATATCTACATGTGTGATAACAGCAAGCGAAAGAAACAAGCATTATACATTATATTTCCGTGATGTTTCTTGTGAAAATTGTCACAACTCAAATATTAACCCCATATTTACATCACAGATCATTGCGATATTTCTATATATGATATGCCGAAAAACGCCTTTTAAAAAATCCAAGTCAAGTTCCTGTTTTTTTCGGTATCTGTTCCCATCACTACAAACACACCACAGCCCCTAACACACACACATTACGCTTGTTGGGACAGTGTCTTACATTAGTATTGGGGAGGGGACCATGGTGTTACACCGATATGTTATACACGGATTGACATTTCAAAACATGAAGACCTCAAAGTATGTCAAAAGAAATCTTTCAACTGTTATCCTGTCCTAGCGAGAGTTACCACTCACTCACTCACTCACTCACTCACTCACTCACTCACTCACTCACTCACTCACTCACTCACTCACTCACTCACACAATCCTCTTGCACGTGGTGGCTCTCACACCACGTCAGAGGGCAAGAGTTACCACATTCTGACAAAGTACAGTTTAATAGCTCACGTAACGTACCTGAGACTGCTGGATACAGGCATAGTAGTACACCAAGAAGTAACATGGCGCGTATTAACGTCTGTCCTTTACTGGTCGCACGGAACACTTCCATGGTGCAGAATACAGCTTCACTCCACTCCCCCTTTCTGTAATAATCGAGCGCTCTGCGTGGGCTGGGTTTTCTGTAATCACTTCCTCGTGTGACGTCACGAGGAGCGATCCTACTCGACGGGTGTGAGGTCACATTTTTTCCGCTCTGATAAGTGGACAGCCCGGGCTACTTTAGATGCCCGAGGTGAGGCCACACAATCAAACAGACGTGAGAAGGAAAGATGACAAAACCAACACGGACAAAAGAAACATGGCACAACTAGTAAATTCGAACAAGACTTTACTTTGATTGAGCTCCAGACACAGAAATTAGAAAGGCATATTTCTCAGTAACAGTAGAAGGGTTTATTTTAGCCTCTTAGAGACATGAATTCGAACCTGTTGATTCTCCCCCA